GGGAAGGGAAGGGAAGGGAAGGGAAGGGAAGGGAAGGGAAGGGAAGGGAAGGGAAGGGAAGGGAAGGGAAGGGAAGGAGCAAATCTGATTCGACCTCAAAACACATCCCCTAAGATGAAAACAGCAGGCAATCTGTGTTTAGTTGCTTAAAAAACACAAACAAAATTAAAATTGGCATCTGGGGGAAGACGTCACAATGGAACCACCTTGCTGGAGAAGGGAGTCATTCTGACCCTCTCCCCCTGCTTTTGTGGGCAAGTCCTTTTTTTTTAATATTCAAGACCCTTAAGCTTTCTGGAAGGTTCAATGCCTCTCGTTCCCGTTCCCTCCTGCAGAAAACTAGTGAGAAACTGGAGTTTGGGAGTCTGAAAAAAGGGATCTCCAGCCAGGATCTAAGGGGAGATTCCCCCAGGTCCTGCTCAGCCGTGCCTGAGACCGGAACGGCCCCCAACAAGCAGGCGAGTTGGGAAAGGCCTGGAAAAGTTGAGCCACCCAGAGTCACCTGTTGGGGGAGATGGGCGGCATACAAATTTAATAATAAATAAATAAAATAAAAAGTTCCCCGCGTGGAGAGAATCTTGGGCTGAGCAAGGAAGACGAGATAGGAAAAGAAAGAAACAAATAAATAAAATTTTAAAAAGCAGGATCTGGACAAAGATAGCTTGCAGACAAGATGTTGACATTCTGGGAGGCTGTTTTATTATTTATTATTTTGTTTGCTAACCCTGACCGGATGCTCCAGGGCCAAATTACATTGAAAACACACACATAAAACAAGCAGTAGGATGCTGGGTTAAGGCTCCTTGTGGGGGGAGCTGGCGTCCACAGCGAGGGGGGTTCCTGTCCCGTCTCTCTGGGGCCGAACGCCGATCTATCTGTCCACTTCACCAAAGACAATATCCTGGGTGCCTGAAGAAGAAGAAGAAAAGTTTAAATTACGTTTTAGAACATTTGCCAGGTTGGGGGAGGGCCGAGGGTTTGGAGTTCTATCTCCCATTGTCCCCGGCTGGCGCAGCCGACATAGGAACGAAGAGAGTCCAGGGCCTGCTGAACCCAGCATTCGGTGGCCAGGACGTGGTTTTCTCTGGAACGGGTTTCGTCAGCTGTGGCTTATTTCGTCGTGCGTGGCTTGGCCACCCAGAGTGGGATCACGCCTTAGGTCCCCCTCCGCGTGTCTTCAACGGTGGGAGTTGCGCCGTCTCAACCGCTGGGATTTCGTAGCCCTGGTTTAAGAAGACTCCCATGGGAGCTCGCTCAGCCTCGGTGAAGCAGATGATGGGTTACGGCCAGGCTAGAAGCCAACCAAGGTAGGTGGCCAGCTCCACCCACCAGAAAAAGAGGACAGCTGTTCTCTCCTTCGCTGCTGCCTTCAACAGCTGGAAGGTGAGACGAGCTCCTGTTGGCTTCGCAGGCCTTTCCCTGCAACTGGGACCAGTGGCCACGATATTCAACTGAGAATTTTAGGTGCCAAAATACACCCCCAAAACTGAGTTCAGCTTATCCACAAGTATATTCGGCGATACTTCTTAAAAGTATCCATTTATCCTGTATATACTGGTGCAGTGTTTCTCAACCTTGGCCACTTTAAGGTGGCTGGACTCCAACGCCCAGAATTCCCCAGCCAGCATGGGTGGACTCCAACTCCCAGAATCCCCCAGCCAGCATGGGTGGACTCCAACTCCCAGAATCCCCCAGCCAGCATGGGTGGACTCCAACTCCCAGA